GTCTAAATTTTGAGATGAGATTTCAACAGTACTAGCATACTATGTGTGATCCAGTTTGTGTGCGTGTGGATACCGGTAGAGGCACAACACTTGGGGTGCTGAAACGACCTCGAATTAATATGGTTCATATTTCCGCTGCAAAATATCCAGGTATATTCAAACCCTAAGATCTAGATTTTATTCTTTATTTACACGGTTCCTGCCAATTAAATTCGTAATTAGTATTTATAAATCGTTATAAACCGGTACGAATTCCAACAACCCGCTTGACTTTTTCTTTAAGGTTTGATTAGGTTTCCAGCAGAGAGTGAACCATGTGGACTTAGGGTCAGGAAGGAACTTCAACAGAAAAGAAGTAGAACGAATTTAGGGATTTGATATCACTTTCACTACTAGAGTTCTTGAGCATGTGAGAAACATCCACGAAGAACATGAAAGGCTAATTTTAGTAGTTGGGCTAAGTATAAAAACAGTAATTTAGTTGGATCTATTAATGGGCCTCAAAAATAGTATATATTTGAATTTTTGGTTGTTGTTCTCGATTAGTGTTTGAAAATAGTTTTGTTGTTCCCATTTCTTTACAATAAATTAATAATACCAGGACCGTGAAATTCTATTAATGTGTAAAAGTATTAATTTTTCGATCAATTTATAATTAGAAATTATTTTGGCTAACTTTAAAAAAAAGACTTATATTCAAAAATAAGATTTTTGGTTATAATTGTGACTAAAATACAACACCCAAAAGTTTTCGTTACACTAAAAATATTAGAAATGAACTCTTACAAAATTAATTATTAATTTGTAAAGAGATTTGGCTAATTTTGAAATCTCTTGAAATTTTTCTTTGTGCAAATATTTTTTATTTCTTCGTTAGAATCAATATCCTTTTAGAACCAATTATACGTAAAAAGAATTATTATGTCTACAACAAAAAAGTTTTATGTAGTAAAAATATTAGAAATGAACTCCACAAAATATTAATGTAAATTTAAGAAAAACAAACAATACTAAACTCATATTTGACTAAATCTTCTTACATGTATATACTGATAATTTTCTAAAATTATTAATTTATGATATTGATATGACCATATATCTACAGAAGATTTTCAAAACTTATTATCTTATTATTTTATCGAATTGTGTAAAATATTACATTGGCCCCACTCGTAAAAAGAAATATTTAACAATTTATAGTGATTATTAATTTACCGAGTATTAATTTATAGAGGTTTTACTTTATTTGGACAAACTGAATATATAAGGGGTAACTAGGTGGTTCGCTTTTACGCATGCTGCCGGAAAATTTATTAGCTGTAATAATATATGTGATGCATAAGAATAATAAGTGGATAGTTATACAATTATTGAATGTACAATAAAACCTCTATGAATTAATAATTTTAAATTAATAATCACTATAAATTAATAAATTTTAAATAATAAATGATGTTTTAATGTAAAAAAGAAAAATAATTGACATAATATATGTAGTTTCTTAATATGTAAATAAATATACCTTAAACAACATCTAAAATGTAACGGAGAGAGTATTCAAGAAGTATATGGACATTGTACAATGTTTGTCCCAAAAAAGATAAATGATAATTGAATAATTATTAATCTCTATTTAATATTCTTTTCTTTCCATGAAAAAGAAGAAAAAACAATATTCATTTCATAATAAATAGTTAGAGAAGCATACCATAAATTTCTGTAACATATTCATTGAATACTAAGAGAAATTGATTTCTTCACCAAATGACTTAAAAACTATTTTCTTGTGTGGTCTTATTGATATCTACTTTAGAAAACAACTTTCTATAGGGCTTGTAAGTCTCTCCTATGCAGCTGAATCTACTCAACATGAAGCTATGTATCTCTATGGAATGATTCTCATCAATGAAGGGGATTTTATTGAGAGATCCAATTACATTAAGCAGCTATGGAAAAACCAGGAGATGCAAGCCGTTAGACTATTTCAATTAAATTGTCGAGAAGTCGTTTTAGAGTTGAATGTGAGGCAATATCGATATTACGTTATGCTTCTAACTCGAATAGAAGTAGGGGATGAATGTGTCATTGGAGAGTTTGATGAGGTATGTGACGGATGTTTCATCTACAAGGAAATCACGTTTTTAACCTTCAAAGTGTAACTGGGTAGCATTTTAAACCTCGAAAGAATTCTACTAACACTATAAACCATCAAGATTGTTTTACTAACACTTTAAACCTCCAAACTAGTTTTTTTGTTTGCAAAGCTATAAAAAATGATGGAACAATCAATTTATGTTGGTTTAATATATATTTATTTAATTTAATTTAAATTTTAATTAATTTTATTATTTATTACGATTTTGACGATAAATAAAAAAGTAAAAAAATAATTATCATCTTCGACTATTCACCGTCCGAACATAATTTTTCAAATTTTTATTCAGTTTATTGTATGTGTTCACCATCTTTTTATTCAGTTGGTATTATGAGATTCCAATTTATCTACTTGAGAGAGTAAAGATGTTTATGGATCAGTCTAAAAGACTGTTTCAACGGTTTATCAAGAAATTTCATTGTCGGACAGTGAATAAACGAAGAAAATAAAGTTTTTTTTTTGTTTTTATAGATTTTTATTAATTGTAATAAATAATAAAATTAATTAAAATTTAAATTAAATTAAATAAATATATATTAAACAAACATAAACTGATTGTTCCATCATTTTTTATAGCTTTGCAAACAGAAAATTTAGTTTGGAGGTTTAAAGTGTTAGTAAAACAATCTTGGTGGTTTATAGTGTTAGTAGAATTCTTTCGAGGTTTAAAGTGCTTCCCAGTTACACTTTGAAGGTTAAAAATGCGATTTTCCCTTATTTTTTATGTAGACACATTCTTTTAATCCCACATTAGGTAAACTCATCAAAGTAGACATGACTTATGATGAAGTTTATTGAATAAAAGAGTTCTAACTCAAGTTAGATTTATTTTGCTATAGCACGGCAAAAAAACTTTTAAAGCACATAAAAGCAAATTGACTTGCCTTTTCTTGGGTATCATATGATAACGTAGGATGAGAGAACAAGCTTTCTCATCTGTCTCCATAAACCTTTGAAAACTAACCTGCAAGACCAAAATCAAATTTGCAATTTAAATTCAGAAAAGATAATAACAAATGCAGATTTAGTATGCGACGTGAAGCCATTGTAGTATTGTTCATTTCATGCAAAGGTTTTATTGTCACCGCATAACAAGGGCTATATACAAATAAGCTTTGTTGAGATCTCTCATAGAGTGATGATATCTACCAAATTAGCTTTCACAGTGCACCTTAGTTCTCATTCCTGCTCACAAAAATCCAAACCTTAGTCTTGACCAAAGACAAACAAATCTGATTCAAAGACATTGAAATTGGCCACAAACCCTAATAACACAACAAGCATAAATCACATTTCGTCCAGCAAAACGAGAACTTTAGAACTCAATGAACTCCATAAACCTATTTTAGAGTAGCTTCAAATTCCTCCAAACAAGAAAATATATAAGATTCTCCTTAAATCTAAAGTTTTTATGAGGAATTATCCCATAATTAAATAAAACTACATAAGGAATTTTCAAATAGAAGTAGAAGTCATCCTCTTCACTGAAAACCTACCAAGACACATAATCATGGTACTTTAAGGTGACATAAAACTTGACTTTGCGGCTCGTTTTTTTTTCCCCCAGTTACGGTTTCAAAGACCTGAGTCCGTGTCACGAAGTAGAACCACTCGTTAGGTTCGAAAAATTCAATCTATGAACATGAACACAATTTTTAAGAGGAAAAATCAAATTAGACGTACCTTCCACAAAAACGAAAGATATTGAACTAAGAAGATAAGATGCTTCTTTGGTTCCATCGTTTCCAATGACGAAGCTAAAGGTTCGGAGAGGAGAACATGGTATGCTGACGAGCAGGCCCGGCGCGCAGGACAGGCTACCCAAGCCACTGCTTGGGGTCCCACAATTTATTTATTTTTTTTTGGTTTTTTTTTTTTTTTTAGTATTTTTTGGTTATTGATGCCCATTTTGAAATTTTACTTAGTTAAATTAGTGATATTGAGGCCCATTTTTTTGGATATATTTTTAAAACAATAATAAAAATTAACATATATTAAAAAAAATCATATGTTAAATATTGTTAATAAATATCAGGGCCTCATTTTATATTTAGTGTAGGGTCTCACAAATGCTCGGACCGGCACTGCTGACGAAATCTTATTTTCTATGTAATTCTGATTCTCTCTACTATGATGATTTAATCTCAGCGATTGAATCTAATGAGATTCTTCAAGCGGATCGAATGTATTTTCGTTTTTCCGATCTCTAAACGACAATACGGTCTCTCGCGGTAAAAGGCAGCATCGCGATTGAGAAAGCAGCGGAAAAGAAAAATTGTCGTCGTCTAAACGAAAGAATCTCGCTGGTTGTGACTTTGAATTAACCTAATGATAATCAAAAATCGATTTACTTCGGAGAAGAGATTTATGCTCATGTTTGGCAATTTTTTAGGCTGAGCTGTATTAATTTTAATATTTTGATTGGCTAAGTCTTTTGAATGAGGTGTTAGCTCCAAGTTACACCAAGTCGCTGATGTGTCACGCTGAAAAAACTTGATTTTAGTTTAATTTTATTGATGTTTATAAACTGTTCATTTACAACTACAATTAAAATCAATATAATTTTGATTTAAAGAAATATTAAAAAAATTCTGATTTTGTCAACAAACTTATTTTCAAATTAAAGATATTTAGAATAATTTATTATAAGTTCTCCTTTTATCTATATTTGATCATATTTTAAGAACATTTAAATCAACACATACAATAAAACTTCTATAAATTAATAATATCAAGACCGAGAATATGGCATTTGGCGTCAATTATGTATATGGTTTACGTTAGTTTTTCAGTGACTTAAAAAAGCTTGTGTTACTTATAAAACTAACGTCTCATGGGTTGCCGTGAAGTTAATTAACTCTAAGTAACTGTTGTTAATACCCTTCCCATTTTTCAATTTTAGGTCATTTATACAAGTGATGTTGAATAAGTAACGTGTTCAAGCATTTTTTTTGTAGTGTATAGGTATTAATTTATCAATTAATTAATAATTATTAATTTATAAAGAGATTTTACTAATCTTGTAAATTTTTTTAAGAATTTTATTTGAAAAGCAATTTTTTTGTTTTATAATCAATTTCTTTTTAAAACTATTTATAAGTAAAAAGGCAATTATTAAGTTTAGAAAAAAAAAAATAGATGTAGTAAAAATATGAGAAATGAACTCTACTAAGAATTAGACAATTAGTCATGTGTGACTGGGTTTCGAGTAGTGTAATTTTTGCATGCAAAGATTATATTACGTATTATTTTGTATTATTTTGTCCTTGTTATTTTGAGAAGAAAAAAACCTAAATCTCCTCAATCTCTAAACCCTAAATCCAATCTCCATCTCCATCGATCTCCATTGATCTCTAAATCTAAAATATACTAATCTCTCTTCACTTTCTACAGCTTCTGCCTCGGTCAAAACCTCTTTGGAAGAGTTCTTCGAGTCCTCGACAAGTTTCTGGGTTTAGAGTATGATGATGATGATGATGATGTTGTTTTGATTATGATGATGCTAATGATGGCAACAGTCACCTTCATGGGTTGATATTTATTTGCTTTTGTATTGATTTCCTCATGCTTCATTACCTTGTCACAGAGAACAAATGCAATTTCCAATAATGGCAGAGACTAAACCACTGATCAGTCTTAAATGGGAACCAAAACTTCCAGGCTTATCCTTAGACTTCAAAACTGGTTCCAGCTCAAACACTTGTCTTTGGGCGTCTAAGTCAGAGTTTGTTGATGGTCTTTATCTTCCACCTAATGATCCAAATAAGATTAACAAGATGATTAGAAAGCAACTCAAAGACACTACTGGTTCAAACTGGTAACTCTCTATACTCAGATTAATTTATATTTATCCTTTTTGTTTGATTCAGCGAGATTACATTGTTTTGCAACTCTCTGTGGATAGGTTTGATATGCCTGCACCAACAATGACTCCTGAGTTAAAAAGAGATCTTCAGTTGCTTAAGGTAATAGCTTCTTTGCTTTTTTGTTCTTGTTGTTGTTATTGTCGGTTTTGGTTTTCAAAATCGTTACGTCATTCTAATTGTATATCTATTGTAGTTGAGAACTGTAATGGATCCTGCTCTACACTACAAGAAATCTGTGTCACGGTCAAAACTAGCTGAAAAATATTTCCAGGCAAGTTTCAAAACGACGAGAATTTTTGTTTCGGCTTCGGTCTTAACACCAACCAACTCTTGTGTGAACAGATTGGCACAGTAATTGAACCAGATGAAGAGTTCTATGTGAGATTGACAAAGAAGAATAGAAAAGCAACTCTTGTTGAAGAGTTGGTGTCAGATCCTAAAACTTCTCAGTATAGGTTAGTTACTACCATTGTCTATTAAGAAACAATGTATAGGAAATGCTTAAATTCTGTATCAAGTATTATGATAGGTGTAAGTATAAGTGTGTAATTTATCTATTCAAATAATAGGAATTTGTGTCTCTGCTAAGTGAATGTGTTTGTGTTGATTATGGTTTTACAGGAAACGTAAAGTTAGGGAGATTGAGGAGAAGAGTAGAGCTGTTACGAATAAGAAATGGAAGAAAAAGGGAAACCAATCCAAGAACACAAAGCAAAGAAGGAACTGAATTACTTTTGTTAGAGTATGATCATAGTTTTGGGACACATTTTTCTATTTAATAGAATATGATCATAGTATTGGACACACTTTCTTGTGGTGCTATAGACCTTACGTTGTAATGACTCATGTTATTTATGGACTTCGTTTAAAGGATTTGCAGCACTCATAGTGCCTCCCTGTTTGAGTCATCTGGCACTGACCATACCACACATATTTATGGGAACACGGCAAAACTTTGCGAGAAAATTTGGTATTCAGCAAGATTTAAATTATGTGAGTTTCTTCTTTTGAATTATAGTTGTAGTGAGGAGGCTAAGAGTATTGCTGCAGCTGCTTCGAGCCGGGGAAAGATTGAGGTCAGTTGTTTGAATTTTTGTTTTGACTCGGCCTTGTTACAATCTATGATATTATATCAGCTCTTTGGAACTAAGAAGATGGATTGTGTGTGTAGGATTTAATTAAATCTGTGTCAAGTTAAACTGTTTAAGCTTTTTTTTTTTTTTTTTTGAATTTGTGTTTTGGCTCGGTATTGTTAGAACTTAGAATCTAAGTTCTTATCACTTGTTTGGAACTAGGAAGCTAGATTGTGTTGAAATAGAATCTAATTAATTGAACTTTTGTGATCTGTGACTTTGCGAGTCAAGAAATCGAAGTAAAGCGGTTAGTGGAAGCGGATTCTAAACAAGCACTGGACCGGCTCCTCCTCCTCGGCGGCGCGGTCAGTGGTTGATGCGGTTCTTGAGCAGATATAAAAGAAACAAAAGCTGAGAGAAAGAGAGAGACGCTAGTTTAGCTCTTCAGTCCAAGAGAAGACACGATGATGTCTGAAATGTGACCGACTCCTTTAACGTTCTTCTACTTCTGCTGTAAGTAATCTTGTTTTCTGGTCTGTTAGAGAAGTGATCTTTAGTAGACTTTGTAGCATTTTTCTCAAGTGATTTGGTCACATTCTTTGGCCAGAGTCTAAACCGTGTCCCCGTTTTCTTGATTGATTTGGTTTATGGTTGCAGGGGAAAAAGTGGCTGTCTACAGAGTTGATAGTCGTATTGTTGGATGGTTTTGTATCAATGTTCTCAATATTATTTTAAATAAACTAAAATTTACCTAGTTTGACCCAAATCTTGGAAAAATTAATTAGATTAACACCAAAATATTATGGTTTATTAGAATAACACAATTTTTATGTTAAAAAACCAAATATCCATTTTATTTTCAATTCTATTAAAATAAACTAATTAACATATAATAATTTAATAAATAAAAAATTAGAAAAAAATAAAAAACAAAAAATATATATATAAAACAAAAAAATACAAAACAAAAAAAAAAATTAAAAAACGAAAAAATATATAAAACGGAAAAAACAGAAATTAAAAAAATTATATATATATATATATATATAACGAAAAAATATAAACCAAATAAAAAATTGAAAATATATAAAATGAAATAAAAAATACAAAACGAAAAAAATAGAAATTGGAAAATATATATATATATATATATATATATATATATATCTAAACGAATTAAAAAACTTAATCATATATTAACGAGAAGACAGCGACACATGAGCCATTTAATATAAATAAGTCTGCCGCGGTAAGAATATATCTGTCATTACCTTATTATGCAGATAAAAATTATATCTTAATCAATAAACTGTCATCATATGACAGATTTTTTATATCCTATCTGAAATCTGTCGTAATATAAAAAAAAGCTTTCATAACAAAAAATATTTCGGTTGCGAGTATATGTCATTCTAGCAATTTATATTTTTAAATAACAAACCTGCTATCACACTAAAGATTTTTGTTAAACAAAAAAAACTGTCATAACATAAAATAAATGGAAATTCCCAAAAAAAACCCAAAGTAATTTTTATTTGGACGTTTAATACCCAATTATTTTAGATTGGAATAAAAAAAACCTCATTAAATTATTTGTTGTCGTAAAATACCTCGTATATTAACTATTGGTAGAATCGAATTCGCAAGTTAACAGCCGTTAACGGACGTAACGGAATTATTAACGGTGGTGGTCGACGGCAGTGAAGGAGCGAAGAAAAAAAAAAACCAGAAATCAACGAAGGGGAACAAATAACCGTTAATAATTTCGTTACGTCCGTTAACGGCTGTTAACTTGCGGATTCGATTCTACCAATAGTTAATATACGAGGTATTTTACGACAACAAATAATTTAATGAGGTTTTTTTATTCCAATCTAAAATAATTGGGTATTAAACGTCCAAATAAAAATTACTTTGGGTTTTTTTTGGGAATTTTCCCTAAAATAAATCTGCTATCTGTAACGACCCGAAAATTCTTAAGTAAATTCTAAACTTTAATAAAATAATAAAGAAAACTTCTAAAAATCACAAAATACATAAAGTCTGAAATTTCGAAAAAAAATCCAAATCTGGGAAATAAAAGTGGTTTAAAATACTGAATGAACTACCAAGTCTGAAGTCTCGCGCTACAACTGAAACAAAGACTCTAAGTGTCAGCTACACGCTCCTCCTCCTCAATGCCCTCTACACGGAATCAGAACTTATGAGCGAAAAATCGCCCAGTGAGACTACAAACCCGACGAACAAGTACCAACACGGTATTATCCCGCACAAATAATGTTCACGTGTTAGTACCAACATACATAAATTCTAATTTAAATAATTATAAAATAAATCACAACAGAACATATATTATCAGTAAAACTTAATCAAATCATCATAACAGAATAATTTCATCAAACAAAATAATAACATGAGAACAGAACGACCAAGTATTCAGCAATGCCACATCGTAATGGTACAACCCCAGCATTGGTCGACCCAAACCATATACTAACAGAATATTTACATAATATACTCGATAGGGATGATGGCCCCTAACGAGGTGATAAGGAAGTACAGTCCACGACATTAACCGACCTCATTATCACTAACAGACTAACAGAATAGGGAATACATCTGGTGGTGATGCTGGCCACCACAGATTGCTCAATAGAGCTAGATAAATCAGAATAGCATGCTGATACCGGTCTTAACAGAATATCATATTTCATCATCAGAATCATATTCAAAATAACAACAACAAAAAAAAAAAAAATTTCAGAATTCAAACATCCAAATAATTCATATTTTCTTTCTATCATATTCCTAAATATTATACAAATGTAAAATAACTAATAAGGAAATTAGAACTCACTTGGAAAGATTTTTCAGATCGAACGAGTGGTTAACGGCAATTCTAGACACGTTTCAAACCACCAATTAATTCACCTAAAGTCAACCGTGTATCAGAAAAATCCGTACAATATACCATCGGAAAGATAATTTTAAGATAAATCGTAATAAGGTATCAGATTCTCCAAAACCGGTCTAAAAGCATCCGAACCGGTCCGAACTACGAATGGTTAAAATTCAAAACTCAACCAATTCAAAATTAGATTTTAGGCGAGTATTCTACACAGATAGAACATCCCAAAACCAGTGCCGGCTCAGATGGGAGGGCGGGCGGTGCGACGGCCAGGGGCCCAATCCCGTGTTCTAATAATTAAAGGGCCCATTTTTTTAATTTTTTTTATAAAATCTTAAAAAATTAGATTACAACATAGAAATAAAATTTATAAGGGCCCATAAAAATTTTTATTTATTGTTTTTAGTATTAATAATTATTTTTTTAAATAAAAAATAGCATTAAAAAAAATTACAGCAAAAAAACATTAAAAAAAAAATTTTGCCCTAGGGCCCATAAAAATGTTGAGCCGGCACTGCCCAAAACCGGTGTCAAAAGATCAAGAACCGGTTTAACTTAATCCCGATTTGACTATGAATCAACAAAAGTGAAATATTTACCAATCAGATTCCGATCAATTCCGAACTCCGTTTGATGAGATCTCAGTGGCGTTGGATCCGTATGAACGAGAGCTTTCTAACAAGGTGTAGATCAAGTTTTAATTCTTCCTGAAACGAAATCCACCATTAAAGAGCTTGAAGCTCACTTTTATGGAGAAAAATTAAAGAAGGAAGAAGAAGAAGCTTACCACACTCTCCCACCAAAGCTGAAATTAACCCAGAACTAGTGCACTAATACGGAGAAGCTCAATCAACCTAAACCACAACAAACTTCCATCAAAAGTTTCCCAAAATATTCAAATCGAAGATGATGAAGATGTCTTGAAAACTCACCAAAAATCTTCAATTGATCTTTGGGGCTTCAAAACGCATATAAATAAGGGGTATTAGGGTTAAAAGGATGGAGATTCGAGTTGCCAAAAACTATCCCTCAGTTTTCGGAAAAGATGAACTCGAATTCTCCCATTTTCCCCGTTTTGCACTTTAGTCCCTGCCGGACTTTTCTCTATTTATAGATTCTGCTTCAAACTTCTGAATCAATCAGAAATCCCCCTGAAACAGACAGCTTCAAATTGATTAGTTTAACCCAAAATCTGATTCCATATATTTTTTTTTAATTATGGGTGTTACACTATCACTAATAAGTCAAACTAGTAATTATTTTTCATTAACAAATCTGTTACATTATGGCAGATTTTGATCAAACAATAAAAGTCCGACGCTACTGAAACAATAAATCTGCCACATATTTTAATAAATCTATCAAAATTACAAAAGTCTGTGGTGTCATCATAAAATAAGGCGGGCAATTTCGCAATGGAGGAGAGAACTAACTCCTTATGGGCGGCAAACAATTGAGGAACTTAAATCGGAATTACATGTGGCACAGAGGGATGACAGAAGATCAAGGGAGGAGATTACAGAATTAACATTACGGTTGAAAGAAGCTTATCGAGATGAGGAATTATACTGGTTTCAAAAAAGTAGGTGCTCTTGGATGCAACTAGGAGATAATAACTCAAAGTACTTTCATGCTCTAACAAAACAGAGACGAGCAAGGAATCGGATTACGGGGTTACATGATGCAAACGGGATTTGGTCTGCAGAAGATAAAGATATTCAAAATATAGCGGTCTCTTATTTTAAGGATTTGTTTACTACAACCAAGCCCGAGGCTTTTGAGGAGTCTTTGGCCGAAATACAAAGTTTGATTACGGATCAGGTTAATAATTTTCTAACGGCACCTGCTACGGAGAGTGAGGTGAGAGCAGCTCTGTTTATGATGCATCCGGAAAAATCGCCAGGACCCGATGGCATGACAGCCTTATTTTTCCAAAAGGCTTGGATTACAATTAAATCATATCTTCTTGTTCTGGTTAATTCTTTTTTAGAGGATGGAATTTTTGACAAACGGTTAAATACGACAAATATTTGTCTGATTCCAAAAACGGAAAGACCGACACGGATGACGGAATTACGGCCCATTAGTCTATGCAATGTGGGTTATAAAATTATATCGAAGATTCTTTGTCAAAGACTTAAAACGGTTTTACCAAAACTGATTTCGGAAACACAATCAGCTTTTGTCGAAGGACGATTGATTTCGGATAATATACTTATTGCACAAGAGATGTTTCATGGGTTGAGAACTAACCCGACATGTAAAGGAAAATTCATGGCCATTAAAACTGATATGAGTAAAGCTTATGATAGGGTGGAATGGATTTTCGTTGAGAAGGTTCTAAGAAAATTAGGTTTCTGTGAGAAATGGATTAACTGGATAATGTGGTGCATTACAACAGTTCAATATAGAGTGCTCCTTAATGGACAACCTAGAGGACTAATTGTACCAGAAAGGGGATTACGACAAGGAGACCCGCTATCCCCTTATTTATTCATCCTCTGTACAGAGGTGCTAATTGCGAATATTCGGAAAGCAGAAAGGGAACAACTAATTACGGGTATTAAGATAGCAAATGCAAGCCCTTCGGTTTCACATCTGTTATTTGCGGATGATAGCTTATTCTTTTGTAAGGCAAATAAGGACCAGTGTGAGGTAATATTGGGGATTTTAAAGAAGTATGAAGCGGTCTCAGGACAACAGATTAATTTTTTAAAATCCTCGATTCAGTTTGGACATAAGGTAGATGAGGATATCAAGGAGGAAATCAAATCTACCTTGGGAATCACTACTATTGGTGGGATGGGTTCTTATCTTGGTTTGCCAGAGAGTTTGGGTGGATCTAAAACAAAAATTTTCTCTTTTGTCAGAGATAGATTACAAACAAGAATTAACGGATGGTCGGCAAAATTTTTATCGAAAGGTGGGAAAGAAGTGATGATTAAATCGGTAGCTGCAGCATTACCAACTTATGTTATGTCGTGCTTCAGACTACCGAAAACAATCACTTCTAAACTTACTAGTGCGGTTGCTAAATTTTGGTGGAGTTCAAATGGAGATTCGAGAGGTATGCACTGGATGGCTTGGAACAAGTTGTGCGATAGTAAATCGGAAGGAGGATTAGGTTTTCGGAATGTAGATGATTTTAATTCAGCCCTATTAGCTAAACAATTATGGCGGTTGATTACGGTTCCAGATTCTCTTTTTGCGAAGGTGTTTTAAAGGGCGGTATTTTCGGAAATCCAATCCCTTGGAAAATATTAAATCATACTCCCCATCATATGGATGGCGTAGTATCTGTTCAGCTAGATCTCTGGTTAATAAAGGACTTATTAAAAGGGTCGGATCGGGGAAATCCATCTCAGTTTGGGAGGATCCCTGGATTCCAGCTCAATTCCCGAGACCAGCAAAGAGTAATGGTTCACTTGTTGATCCATTGTTAAAAGTTAACAATCTTATAGATAGTCGGTCGAATTTCTGGAATATTGCTCTCTTAGAAGAGATCTTTGATCCAGAAGATATCGCCATGATAAGTGCCCTACCTGTGGGTGCACCAACTAAGGAGGATACACTAGGTTGGCATTTTACAAAATCCGGAAAATATACAGTCAAATCGGGATATCATACCGCACGGTTAGGAAATTCGGAGACAAAATTTTCATTGATTGGACCAGACATCAACCGTTAAAAGCACATTCTTGGCAAGTGCATTGTCCACCTAAGATACGTCATTTCTTATGGCAAATTTTAACGGGTTGTGTACCAGTTACGGAAATTTGCGGACACTACAGGAAATGAGGGTATTAATAGCAGTACAGTATAGCGTTTTTAAGATTTCTGCTATAGTTGAGTTTTAGGAAAATTTACATAGCATTTTCAAAAAAGCAAACGCTATGTTAGAATGGGCGCGAAAATATTTGATATTGACGCTTAGTTTTTGGTATAATAATAGCATAAATGACACTAAAACGTCATCGTAGAGGTAACAGGAACTGAAAAATTAATTAGCTCCAAAATTTTAGTAAGTAGCAAAACAATAAAAATTAAAAAAAAAATAAAGAAATAGAAACAAAATATTGAAGACGTACGAGAAATAGAAACAAATCTAAAAACTTTTGGCTTCCTCTTCTCTCTTCTTTCTCCCTGAAACTCGATTGGAAAACCCTCACAGCCGATCCCAATTTGTTCGTCTCTTCTTTCACTCTCATCCCTCTCAGTCTCAATTCCTCTCAGTCTCAATCCCTCTAGATCTCAATCGTCAGTTTCATGGATCTACAAAGCCCTCTTAATCGATTTTGGCTCGAATCACAAATTTGGAGTTTGATTTTATATGTTGCTCGATTTCGTTGACTTAGATTCATGAATAGGTTTAGTTTCAGTAGCTATGGGTTCATAATTTCAATTTTGTCTTACCTATATTGTTCCTCCTTGGTGATGTGATATAGAGTTTGTTAAATCCTCCGCGTTACAGTTTCTATTTTTTGATGGGTTTCTTTTGAATTCTGTGTAACAGGTGTACGGTTTCTCTCGAGGCTTGTTGATGGTTTGAAGAATGAAGAAGATTCGGAACACAAATAGTGCTTGACATAATGGCAATCCGATTCTAGTGATGGTCTTTAACAGTCCACAAAGTGAGTTGGAATTTGCTTCAAAAGTTTATTCATATTGGAACAATTTAGATCGAGAAAGGACTGAAATTTTGGTTTTATTGTTGCAGTTCTTTAGATGGAGCATATTTTTTTCGCAAATTTGGATATGATGCATGACACTGACAAGAACTCGTAAGTTCCAACCATTGATTTACTTCAAGGAAATTTTCAATTAACCAACCTATGTTTCTTATAGTTTGACTAACAGACTTTAAAATGCTTCTTGAAGGTAGTGTGGAGCCTGGAAAGAGGTAAATGGGTACTAACTCTGGTTATTCTTAGACTAAATCGTGCTGCATTTTATGTCCTATGGAGTCTAAAAGGTAAATGTATCAGTTCCTAAATGTACTGAGTTATTTAGCTTTATTGTTTAGGTAATATATATGTAGTGTACTTTTCTTATAACTTCTACAGCTTCTAATATGTGTTCTCGTTTTTTTGTTCAATACCCTTATAGAGAACCAGCTCAGTGTTTGATCAAAACTCTACTCAATACAGCTCTAAAATTCATAGTTTTGTTCTTATTGGTGGAAGAACTCAATCTCTTATGTTGATTACTTGAGTGTTTGGATGATAAGTAGTGTTTGTTCAATTTTGATGATAATCTTTATTATTTGTTCTTCGCTTTTGTGACCATGATGATGCTGAGATTGTATATGGGGATGGTGCAGGAAGTTTTCATAAATATAAAAAGGAGGTCGACCCATCTTGATCTTGTTGTGTGATGAAACGATATAATCTTTGTGTGGACGAAGTCTCAAAAGATCAATGCACTTGTTGGAGCTCACATTGTTCAGCCAATCAAGAAAGCTTTGAGCCATTAACAGATCACAATTTGTGGTCTTCGTTAATTTAAAATTTTTTTTTATATACCATTTATCGATTTTTATCTTACAATTTTTTTTGTCTTTGTAAAATACTCAAGTTTAGTAATGTATGTATCAATAAAGAAAAAAAATAACAAATATTTGTTCTTAAGAAGAACATAAAATGGAATAAAAATAATTAAACTACTACAAAAAAAATAATAATAACGAAATTTAGAGAGTTTTTGATTTAGAGTTTAGGGTATAGATAGGGTTTCGGTTTGGGGTTTAGAATAAATTTTATAATTCTGTTAAGTGTTAACAATAAAAATTAATTTTTATATGTACATATGAATATTTAATTTAAGGTATTTAAATTCAAAATTGTAAAATAACTTTTTGCTAATTATCAACGAAGAAAAAATAAAGTATAATAATTTTTTCCAATATTCATTTGTGAATTATACATAATAAAATAAGATAAAAGTTTTTAATAATTTGTTTGCATTTTATTTTGTTAATTGATAAATAGTAAAAAAAAAATTCAAAATTGAACCTATACCCTAAATCCTATACCCTAAACCCTATACCCTAAACCTTCTAGGGTTCAATCTTTAACATATTTACTATTTATCAATTAACATAATAAAATTCAAAAACATAACAAAATTATATATTACTAAGTACATAAAATAACAAATTGAAAACATATTACAAATATACAAATATACAAATTAAACAAATAAGAATCGGTTAGTTATAAGTATTTGAAGATTTCATCTATATATATCTATTATACTATTTGTGTTTAATGGTTTTATTATTCAAACTTCTTTTAACTCTAACTAAATTTAAATCTTATTTAACAATGTATTCTCATTAATTTAAATTATTTTCTATTAATAATAGTATTTAATTTGTTTTAATCTGTTTAAAATGGTATAAGAAAATAATTAAGAGCATAGCCAATAGGAAGAGATCACACGGATAGCTGACGTGGCCTATTCTAACACCGTAGGATTAGAGTGTCCGATTTTAATATAGACCATTGATTAGAGTGAATCCAAGGGATACAGATTTTAACCTCTCTTTATTATTTCATTGGCTAAACCATTAAAATAAAGATCACATTGTTTCTAATATGAACCATTGATTAAAATGAATCTAACGGACACAAATTAACCTTTTGTTTTATCTTTTCTTTCTCTTTTTCCCTTCATTCTCGCGTCTTATAGTCTTCTCATTCAATCTTCTTCTTCTTCGATTGATTATTCAATTATATCAAATTCTAATTATACCCTGCAATTGAATCGATTATCAAATTAGTTTCAAGTTTGGGATCTCGGCTTCAACCACGAGAGCTTTGTTTCGAGTAAGCAATTCTTCCAACCTTTGCTTGATTTTCTTTGATTTCGTTTGCTTGTTTCTACCAGATTCGGTGGAAAATCGCTTTGAGCTCTCTTTCGTTTATATGGGACGCCATTCCAGGTTACCTAAAATCTTCTATTTGGTTGCTTCTTCTTCTATGGCCGTGGCTAAATCTCCGTCGTTACCATTCCAGGTTACCTAAAATCTTCTATTTGGACTTTCTGTTAATGTCGCTTGTAATCATAATTTGATTGATTTTGTTTGGATTGAATGAGTTTGGAATCATAAACTCTTGACTTGATTTGCAAATTGGTTATTTAGGATAGTGAAGGCTAACGGGCTAACGGAATCACAATGTTGTTCTTATAATTAATTGCAGAGAAGGCTAGAGGAGTAGAGGTGCAGATTGACCAGAAGAAGAACTCTAAGCCGTTGAAAGAGAGCCACAAAAGCTGAGAGACAAGCTATTAAAGAAGATGTTTCGAAGAAGAAGAAGTTTCCATCGAAGAAGAAGAAGCTGTAGAAGTCCCTTTTTTGTCTTAAGTTTTTTTTCTTGTAACAAAATTATAGAATAAAGCAAAAAAAGCCTAATGGGCTCTTATGAAACCACAAAACAATTCAAGACAACAAACACAATTGGATTAATGTAACTTTTATGTATATAATTACATGCTGTAAAATCAGTTTTTTATATCAATAAATACTATATTTTATTTTTTAATTTATATTAACAAATAACTGAATTAATAATGTATGTAACAGGTACAAATACTGTATAAATACAATCTTGTATAAATACACAAAATTCTATATATATATATATATATATATATAAATAATTAAATAAATTAATAGCAAATAATAATCGCTATTGTCTATTTAAAGATTGCATATCAAAAAATGCTATGTTATCAGATATCGTAATAGCATTTTAAAAAAACGCTATGTAAAGTGTCAGATCTATTATAACGGGCGCAGACATAGCGCTTTCTACATCGCTGTTGTATCGTAAGATAGCGGTTTTTCAGGTGCTAAGAATACCCTTATTTCCTGTAGTGGGAGAAGGGGAATTGATTGTGATATTGGTTGTGCTAGATGTGGCGAACTAGTGGAAACAATCAATCATACACTCTTTCAGTGCCACCCGGCACGACAGGTTTGGGCGCTCTCTCAGATTCCTACAGCAATGGGAATTTTTCCAACGGAGTCTATTTTTGCAAATTTGGACCATTTATTTTGGAGAATACCTTCGGAATTTGACTCTTCAGCCTTTCCATGGATTATCTGGTATATATGGAAAGCAAGGAATGAAAAAATATTTGAAAACATTGATAAAGATCCGTTGGAGGTATTACGGTTAGCGGAAAAAAGAAGCACAATTGTGGCAGTCAGCCCAAATTGAGCTTCATCATGAAACTCATGGTACTGCGGAATTGGTTAATCGTTCTCGAGTGGGGAATTACTTCACTTGACTCGAATTATTCTGGATACCGTTGCTTTGTAGATGGATCGTGGAAAGAAAGTGATAAGTTCTCCGGTACAGGATGGTTTTGTACATCATCAAACGGAGAGCCGCCAACCATGGGAGCTGCAAATCTCCGTCGAAGTTTATCTCCATTACATACCGAGTTCGAGGCCCTTCTCTGGGCGATGAAGTGTATGATTGGTGCAGATAATCAAGAGGTAGAGTTCCTTACAGACTGTTCTGATCTGGTGAAGATGGTGTCTTCTCCAACCGAATGGCCGGCGTTTTCAGTGTACTTGGAGGAATTCCAGAGCGACAAGGAAGAATTCTCATCCTTCTCTTTATCTTTAATTTCTCGCAATGCTAATGTAAAAGCGGATCATCTGGCACGAAAAATTCGTACAGAACCGCTTCATATCACATTTATAAACAACATTCCTCAGGAATGGCTCTTTTGAGCTCTAATTAATTTCGGATGACAAAAAAAAAAAAAAAAAAAAAAATCTGTTACAAATTAAATATATGTCGTAACCTATTTCAAGTAAGTCTATGGGAGAAAAAAAAATCTATTGCAAAAAATCTGTCGTAGACAAATAAGTCTGTCATGAAAATTAAATCTGTCACAACTTATCCAGCAGACTTTTCAAATAATTTTTTTTTCTAATATTTTTTGCCCACGTTTTTATTATTTATTTAAGGATAATAATGACTTTTTTTTATTCCTAACAAAGAGAAAAAGGGTATTATGGTCACGAAAATAACCCATTTAACCTCTTAATTTTTTAAGACACATTAGTAATTAAACTCATAATTTGGGTTAATCTAGTAAATTTTCCTTCAATAAATACATAAGTATTTAAGTGAAAATGTGATAACACATGTCATTGAGTGTATATTTAAAGTGTAAGTATTGAATATTTTATACACCGAATTTTTTAAGATAATGAAACCAATATAATTTAATCATAAATTAGATAAAGATAAATAAATTAACTAACAAAAATTTCAAAACAAAACTAGTAATATAAACTAAAACAATTCGTAGTGTCTTTGTAAAAATATGTTGTAGATTGTGGTTATGTTTGTAATTTAACCTTTTAAACACTAAAATAGAAGTAAATTTAGGATTAACAAAAAAGTTTCCAATGGCATATCATATGTAATTAAGTACATAACAACGGTTTTATTCAAACATAATTCTTTTTAATATATAGTAGATGAATTTTTATTTGGTGGTTTTATTAAATTATCAAAAAAAATTTTTTTTTGTTTTCATAAGTCTTAAAAGATTACATTATACTGTTGCATCGTAATCTATAATGTTTTGAAATTTTTTCCTTATAATATATATATATATATATAATTTGTACTATATATATATATATACACTTGATTAAGATCCGTCTGATGGACCATTTTTTTATTTTTAAACTAAAATTTAAATCTAAAAAATATTTAATTAAAAATTTAGAAGTTTAAACATCAATTATATATTGAGAAAAAAAAATAGTATAGTTTATGTGCATGTAATAAAGTGATGTTCCCAAGGAAATTTGGTAAATTTGGAAAGCAAGGAATGAAAATTTTTATGAAAATATTGATTTAAATCTATTGGAGGTCGTGCGTTTAGCAGAGAATGAGGCACATGTATGGTAGTTAGCACAAATTAAGCTTAAAACGGAAAATCAGGGTTCTTTGGAAATAAATATTATATTCGGGGAGTAGCTGTTTCAAATGTGTCAATCAATTCTAGTTTTCGATACTACGTTGATGGTTCGTGGAAAGTGAGTGACAAGTTCTCAGGCGCAGGGTGGTACTGTTCGTCAGCTACAGGATAGACGACAACAATGGGAGCCGCCAACTTCCGAAGGA